GGGGGGTGGGGGGGGACTGAAACTAAACTGTTACAATAAGGAAACGCTGAAGATATTGATTATAAGAGACTATAGGTAGGTAGTCTAGTAAGTAAAGGTATATCTGTTGTGTGACTTAATAGAGATAATTTATTTTTCCCTTTTAATACTTTTAAAGCTTGTTTTATCATGTATATATATGTTAGCTGAACGGAAAAGTAACATGCTTTGTTGCAGCCAAAAACTGTCATCTGCTTTTTTTTTTTTTGACAGAATTATTATAGCTGAGCCAACTTATTAGCTTTTCTATACTGTGTATATACAAGAACATGTATATTGAAAAGACATACAGAGTCATTTCTGTAACCATGACTTTGTAATTTTGAGAACTACTAACAGATGCTAGTCGATGTTCTTTTGGAATGTACAACTACTTAATGCCAAACCACCTTTAGCCTTTGTTTCTTATCCGTCTTCCTTAACGGCCTGCCTGCCTTTTATCAATCTCAGACTTTTTAATGAACACTCACACTCTCATTTTGAGCTAGGATTTGGGGAACTAAGTCTGGTTGGATTTTTCTCTAAATTCTGTCAGTCAGTAACGTCCAGAAGAAGAACCTCTCCAGTCTTTTTTTACGCAGTTTCACGTTGCTCTCTCTGGCTGGACACGGACCCTTTTGCTTCACTTATTATAAAGGCCTGATCCTCCATTGGACCATCTTCACCCTCCTTTCTAAACGAAAGGAGTTAGATAAAATTTTTTTGAAAAGTTAGTTAGTTAGTTTTTGAGATGCATAGCAGTGTAATTCATTTACATTTCAATTCCTTGCTAAAATCAGCCAGGAGAAGGGAACTTTCGGTAAGGGTGAAAAAATAAATCGGAAGTGTCACTTCTCCATTTAAGAGCGAAAAATACTCTAAAAACTTCAGACCAGGGTTAACTGACTCACTTGATATATTCTGCCTTTGTCACAGCAATACTGAGGACGGTTCCTCAATTCGTAACATGACACACCTCGCAGGAGCAGAGCCTAATGAAAGTAGTTTGTTTTCTCATTTAATATAAACAGTTTTGGTCCATGTTGGTTCACATATAAATCTACTTTATATGAAAGAAAAAAATAGTCTGCCTGTAAAATAAATTCTGAGTTTTGATTGACTGAGCCATGTTTGCAGAATGCTTTCTTCTGAGGTTGTAGTGTTGGCGGCTTTCATCTTGAGAAATGTGATGATTCCCAAATGGCATTATGAAGAATGAGAAAATAGAGTTCCTTCAAAATTGGCCTAGGAAATAAAACCTTAAATGGACACTGGTCTGATACTTCGTCTTAATTTGGGTTTTTCTGTTTCAGTTTGCCACCTCCAGGCGTCAAAGTGACTGCAGCCCACCCTAAGTACTGTCCATAGTATATCCCTGTGTGTGTGCACAGCGATTTCCCCTTATAATAATGTTAGGTTCCTGGCTTTGTTATAATCTAATCCCGAAGTATCTGTGTATGTGTTTTGTTCTTCAGCACATAAGCGAGAGGAAATAGTCAAAATTGGAAATGTGTTGTCCTGACGGTGTCCCTTTAATGTTTCACGTGAAAATTACATTGACTCACTAAAAGGTTTTTCCCTGATGTCTGGCCAGTTGAATTTAATAACATTTCTTGTTAACATCTGTGTGTCTATTAAATGTGACTAAGCAAAATTTACTGAAAATTCACCATAAAAATCAAAGGCATCTAAACTTCTGTACTTGTCTTAATTGATCACATATATTTACATCTGATTTTGTGTCTTCGTTTGATTTTATTTAATCACGTCTGTATGAATGAGTACGCTATAATTAATAATTTTTTAATAAATATGTCATTACCTGTTCACGACCAAATTACCACGGACCAACGTTCAGATTTAAATTATCTTCACTTGGAATGGAAATTCATAGTTTCCATGAAAACATTAATGAGATATCATTATAGGCAGGTAGCCTAAAAATACAATTGCTGGTAAACCTAGCCTCAAATTTCATAATATATACCATAACTGTTTTTATATCTTGCCACTAATTTTGACTGGATTTAATAGCACTTTATTGTACAATTGCAAAAAACAAAAATATATTCCTAGAATTGTTGCCGGTGTAATTTCTCTAATGTTCTGGTGCTTTTCATATATTTTCAGTATTTTTATTACTATATTGGTATTTTCTTTGTATAAATTGATCAAAAGAACATGTTTTCTATTTTAATATGTTTTAGAAAAATAATTACATTTATGCAATAAATATCATCAGGAAAAACCTCTGGTCTCTAATTGATAAAGCATCTTAAAAAAGTCAAAGCTCAGGTTCACTGTGACCTTTCAAAGATCACATTCATTTCTTCTGCACCTGCTTACCTTTTTAGAAGGATGGCACCACAAACTTCCAAAGACACAACTGTGTCATCAGGTGAGCCCGTCCCTAGTGTGTCCCGTTCCTCCTCGCCCCTGGGTCAGGGAGGGTCTGGCTGCTCTTCAGGGGAGCTCTCCATTTTCCCGACTTAGCATTGGCCTCACTGTCACAGCTCGGGGCTCCATCACAGAACCTATCACTAGAGCGGCCACACATGTCAGAATTGCCCTACATCCCTCAATCCTAGTACCTATACACCTGCCTGCTGACAGGAACCTGCAGGAAGCAGGCTGACAAGAAATCCTACCTGGCTGCCAGGCGCATGGCAGGCGGTCCCGGCGAGAAGGCACCGGAGCACGGCGCGTGGGTGCGGTTCAGGAGGGGCGGCCCCGGATAGTGATGGCAAAGGCCCTGGGGATTGTTTGTGTGCTTCCCCTCGCCACTGGAAGACACAACTCCCAAGTGCAGCTCCATAAGATAGAACGAACAGGACAGGTCCATCTTCTTAAACTGCAAAAGAGGTCGAGATACAAAACCATGGGAGAAATTCAAAACAGAGCCAGAAAGACAGACCGGTAACCTACCAAGGAGCCCCACACCTACCCAGGACCCTGAGGGTGGGGCCTCCTTTCCCAAAAGATGCAATTTTCTAGGGAAGAGCTCCTGTGTGAGGAAAGCTCCAGCTAGAAAAGGATCAGTTACTTTACAGCAACCCAGCTCTTCTCTAAATTTTACCAGCAACTTAAGGTTTCTTGATGTCAGAACAACATGGGTCCCCAGAAGCACAGGACTCCCCTTTTCTCGCTGGCCCAAGGGCACGGAATGGAAGTCCTCCCATTTGTCCCAGCTGAGGGAGTAGTGGTCAGGAGTGAGGGCTCTGAACGAAGACTGCCCGGGTGCAAGTCCCCTCTCTGACATGTGCTACCTGTGTGACCCGGGAATGTGAATGAACCTCTTTCAGCCTCAGTTTCCTCATCCCTAAGTGCCTCTGATATCAAAGTACAACTTCCCAGGATGAGTGTGAGAGTGACAGGAAGTCTTGCATTTAAAAGCAGCCACAGAGAGGCTAGCCTGGCTTTGCTGACGCCTCCACCACCTTCCATTCCAGCTCCCTAGAACTTTTCACACTCGGGTTGATGTCCTGACTATCCCAGCTCACTCAAAGCCAAATGTCAGTTCTCCAAACTTTTCCCTGCTCTGTACTCCCATCCTTGCCTTCTTGGTACTTCTGGTGCCCATGTCAAGGGACGCATGTAGATGGCCAGTGATGATCAACTGCCTTGAATCCTGTAGAGGAGTATCCCTTACCAGTCTGAGGAGGACTTGGTTTGATGCTTCCTTCCACCACTGCACCCGCACCTGGAATTCATCTTGCAATATTCCACCCGTAACAGTTTCCCGTTACATTTGTAACAATTCCATAAAAATATCACATAGGATCTTTCACATCTTCGTGACAGTTTCATCCTTAACCCTGAATATAATTACTTGCCTCTAATGCCCAAAGATTCTCCTCCCTACCCTACTCATGCCCCCTGCCAAGCAAAGTAAAGCCAATCTCTTGCGCGTGGTAAAATACTTGAGACAACTGGTTCAACTGGCAAGAATACAGAATCCTTGAAATTAACCAGTTGTTCGTGTTCCTCTGTCTGCACAATGAGAGAGTACATGATCAGACCGTGTGTCTTACAGATAAGGAAACCACGAGCCTGAGAAATGATTCTTTCTCCCAAGGTCACAGGCTGGTTGGTTTCAGAGCCAAGAGTTGAACTAGACTCCCAAGTCCACTGCGTGTTACAACCACTCAGAACTGCCACATCTGAGCAATAGGTTACAATGTTGAAGGGACAGCTCTGAGAACTTGACCTACCCTAAACAGCAGGAGAGGGAAAAGAGAAGACAGAATACTTGAGAAGCAGAGGTGACAAAACACAAATAACCACTCAAGACCCTTGGTTGGAAACTTACTTGGAATTCTAAGCTACAGACAGAACTCACTTTGTAAAAGGGTTGAAACGTACAGGTTAATGTACTGTTTACTTTGATGGAGGGCTGTGTTGTGCAGCATCAACCTTCTGCGAGGTTTATCCATCACTCTGTAGAAGGGCACCTAGTAGGGTGCGCAGCTACTAGTTGTCTCAGCCGTAGTCTAGTCACCTCAAGGACTCACGTGTTTAATACAATCAGATCATAGAAGTTTTCTATTGCCACGTAACAAATTACCACAAAGTTAGCGTCTTAAAACCACCCAAATTATTTCATAGTTTGTGTGGGCTGAGTCTGGTACAGCACGGCTGGGTTCTCTGGTCAAGGTCTCACAAGACTGTCAGCCAATGGCATCCTCCGTGGAGTCTCAACTGGATAAAGATCCACTTCCAAGGGCTCACCTGATTAGATCAGATCCACCCAGGACAAATCTCCCTTCTG